TTGACTCAATTCAAATAAATATAGCCCTCTAAAACACTTTTGCGCTATGCATGTTATTCAAATAAATATACCCCTCTAAAATACTCTTGCGCTATGCATGTTGAACTTCTTGCAATTGCATGACCGCAATTATGTCACTCAGCACTTTCTCTTCGACCAACAACTCAAACCCAAAATGGTATTGATTCCTTGCCACCTTCTGCTTCAGCCATGCAAATTAATACAAACGTATGCAGTAGTGATGGAGCATTTTTACTTAGCACCTCAGTTAAAGTGGCGAGCCCTAGTATTCAAGGCCGCAAAGAGCCATGACATTCCTATGTTGAGGGATGGGCAACCCTCGAGCAGTGAGTGCTCTAAAGGATCTTGTTCGTGCCAATAAGCTCATGTTCTGCTTTCTTATGGAGACAAACGTAGCTTCCTCTTATGTTAAAAACTTAAGTCTGCAGTGTGGTTTCTCCTCTTCTTTTTCAGTTGATTGTCTTGGTCGAAGTGGTGGTTTAGCTGTTTTCTGGAATAATAATTTGAATGTTGATTTTTATTCCTACTCCCCAAATCAATAGTTGATATGCAAAAACTCTATGGACCGCCAGTACTTGGCGAGATGACGTGTGATAATATGGGTTTCCCTGAACATCAGTAGGAAGCCAGACACTGACTCTCCGTAAAAGCTCTAGCTAGTCAGCACAACCTTCCTTGGCTTCTAAATGGGCGACTTTAATAATCTACTTTGCAGATGACGAGAAGATAGGGCATGCCTTATAGCTACGTGATCTTGAGGATTTTTGAGACAGCGCTGGAGGTGTGGTCGGCGTCTCCGATTTCTTGTTGGTAGGGTATCCGTTCACATGGTGATCTGGTAGGAGGACGTAAACAAATTGCAGGAAAGATTGGACCGGAAGTGCTTCAGATACATGTCTTTGCTTGTTTTCCCAAATGCTTCGGTTCACAGATTGAATTAGTGCACATCGGACCATTCTCCATTTTTGCTTTTATTGGGCACTGACCTAAGGATAAAAAGACAACGTTAGCTTCAGGTTTGAAAATGGATGGATTGGGGGAGCCTAACCTTGATGAGACTTTACTCATAATTTGGAGGAGCCCACGGTGATGTGATGGGTAAACTACAAGCATGCAGAGCTGGGTTGCGATTTTGGGGACGTGACTTACGTAGCAAGTTCCTTAAAGAAATTAAATTGCTTAAAACTCGACTTAATGGCTTTCGAGTCCACCAGAGCAGTGACAGTTCAGAGGAGTACTTTTTAATACAAAAGCAGCTTGGTGATTTGCTTCTTAAAGAAGAGCAGTACTGGAAACAACGATCAAAAATATTCTGGCTTGCTCATGGGGACAAAAATACTAGGTACTTTCACTCCTCAGCTTCCTTACGTAAAAAATTAAATTATCTTCCAGGTATCCGGGACTCGAGAGGTGACTGGAAGGAAGAACCGAGGGATATGCATGCTGTGTTTCTAGAATACTTCACTACACTATTTACGGCCACACCTGTCCAGTCTAGTCCTGCTCTTGAGCATGTTAATTCTCGGGTCACTGAATCTGATAATGATAGTCTTATAGCCCCTTTTCTTGATGAGGAGTTTCGATCGGCGGTATTTCAAATGCACCCGGACAAGAGTCCTGGCCCTGATGGGTTCAATCCATGTTTCTTTCAAAAATTTTGGTCAGTTGTGGGATCAGATGTTACTACTTGCTGTAAACGGTGGATTGCACATGACTCTTTTCCTAATCTGGTGAATGAGACCAACATTGTATTAATTCCAAAAATTGATAAACCTAAATTTGTGAAAGATCTGCGGCCAATTTCCCTATGTAATGTCTTATATAAGATTGTGGCAAAGGTCTTAGCTAATCGGATGAAGCATGTCCTCTGAGGAAAATGAGGAAAATTGTCTCCCCATCTCAGTCCGCTTTTGTACCTGGGAGGCTAATTACGGACAATGTAATTCTTGCCTTTGAAACAATACATTCTATGAAAAACTGTGGGAGGAGTCAAGAACAAACAGCGACTCTGAAGATTGATATTAGTAAGGCATATGATCGAGTTGACTGGTCCTATTTAGAAGCTATAATGACAAGACTTGGGTTCTGTTCCGAGTTCATTCGGCTGATTATGATGTGTGTTACATCGGTCAGGTATCATGTACTTGTTAATGGTGAAAGGGTTGGTCCTATTACTCCATCTCGTGGGTTGGGGTGCCCTCTATCTCGTGGGTTGAGACAAGGGTGCCCTCTATCTCTGTACTTGTTTCTGCTATGTTCTGAGGGGCTTTCGACTTTATTTATGCATGCAGAGGCAGTAGGGTCAATCCATGGGGGTCGTATTTGTCGAGCTGCTCCGAGTTTGTCTCATCTTTTATTTACTGACGATAGTCTGCTTTTCTTTAAAGCTAAAGCAGAAGAAGCTACAGTGGTTGCACATATCTTAAAACAGTACGAAGCAGCATCAGGACAGGGTGTGAATTTGCAAAAATCGGGGGTTTTTTTCAGCTCTAATGTGGACGTCTCGATTAAAGAGTAGATCATCAACATTTTGCAAGTCTCTCGACCCTTAAACCATGGCAGATACCTAGGACTTCCTTCCCTAGTTGGACGAAACAAGAAGGCAGTCTTCTCCTTTCTTCGAGATAGATTGAGAAAGACCATTTCTCGATGGAGCCATAGACTCCTTTCTAAGGTAAGGCGAGAAAGGAAGTAATGATTAAAACTGTAGCTCAGGCGATTCCATCCTACTGCATGAGTACTTTCCTTCTCCCTGTGACGAACTGCAAAGAATTATGAATTCTTTTTGGTGGGGTACACAACGTCCGAGCAGTAAAGGAATTCATTGGCTCTGTTGGGACCGAATGTGCATGGGAAAGACTATGGGCGGCCTTGGCTTCCGACATCTCTACTCCTTTAACATTGCCGTAGTTGGTAAACAGATTTGGCGACTTGTCACTGAGTCGAATACTCTTCTATGTTCTGTTCTCAGAGCAAAATATTTTCCGGGGGGGAATGTTTTGGATGCGCCCTTAGGGCATAATCCCAGCCTTATATGGAGGAGCATGGTCTCGACTAAGTCACTTCTCAAAAGAGGGTATAGACGGAGAATTGGCAACGGTTCAAGTGTTAACATTAGGCGCGACCCGTGGTTACCAAATGATAATGATTTCTACCCACATAGCCCTGTTGTCCCTAGTTCTGAGAACATGTCAGTTGGAAATCTAAGGATGTTTAATGGTTGGAACGTGGATTTAATTGCCAGATTGTTCCTTCCAGAGGAGATGTCACAGGTTCTATCCATCTCGTTTACTCGGGCTACCCATGCAGATACACTTATATGGAACTTCTCTACTTCAGGGGAATATCTTGTTAAATCAGGCTACAAACTTGTCCTGCCTAATTTCGTGGAACCTAAAGCAACTGTAACTTCGCCAATTTGGGCTAAATTATGGCAATTAGATTCCCCACCGAAGGTTAAGCACTGGCTGTGGCGAGCGTGTCGTAATATTCTACCAACGAAATCTATACTACTTGGCAAGCGGATTACAAAGGATGACCATTGCCCTTTTTGCAGCAAAATCGAGACAATAATGCACATGCTATTCCTTTGTGAGAAAGCTCGACTGTGTTGGACAATAACAGGGATTCCGTTGGATAGATCAGCCACTAGTTTTAGTGATACTCTATTGGGGTTTATTGATCGGCACAGTGATGATCACTGCTTGTTATTCGGTGTGTTGTGCTACTTTATCTGGTTTGACAGAAACCGACGAGTTTGGCAACAAACTAATATTCCTCTGTACAACATTGTCATGGTAGCTACCAGCTTTCTTAGAGAATGGAAGAACGCGCAGATTGATCGAAGCAATTCCTCTGTATCGTCGGCTTCAGTTCCGACATGGGCTCCTCCTCCGACTGGGGTTGTTGCGGTTGTAAAGTGTAACGTTGATGACAGCTGTTCCATATGACTGCAGGGTCGTTCAATCGTATGCTGGCCTGTCCAAAATGAATAGCAGACAGTTCTTGGTAGCTTGCATGGGTCATTTTGCGGGGTGCTAAAACCTCACATCGGCAGAGGCCATCGGCCTAGGGAGGTTTTTATCTTGGGTTGCTTCACGAGATCTATTGGTGTAGGGATTCTAGTTGAAACAGATTGCTACGACTGTTTCAAGCTTGTAACTACTAGTTGGATTCTTATTTCGATTGGCACCAGTGCTAGAAGAGATTTAAACAACTAACTTTCTCAAAATACCATCTAGGAATTGGTTTGGGGTTAGGAGCAAGGTAACAGTCTGCACATCTCTTGCTCGTATGACATTTACATCCTTGTTTCCGTCTATGGGACTCGGACTCTTGCTAGAAGAGATTAAACAACTACTTTCTCAAATACCATCTAGTGAATTGGTTTGGGTTAGGAGGCAAGGTAACAAGTCTGCACATGCTCTTGCTCGTATGACATGTTTACATCCTTGTTTCCGTCTATGGGACTCGACTCTCCAATGTATTGCAGATCTTATTTCTCATGATTTATTATAAATATATGATCTTATTTACTTTCAAAAAAAATATATAGTTCAATTAAATGAGGTTAAGATGGTCATTTTAAGATATTTACCACATTGGCATTATGACGTGGATTAATTGTTGTCCAAATAAGCTTTCAGTTAAGTAAAAGTGGGTCTAAACTCAGTCCTATTGTATTTTCCAATTGTCTATTTCATTAGGAGACACCAAAATAAAAAGAATTAAAAATTTAGACAATCAATTAATAATATTTTCCGTTTAAATACCAAAATAGAAAAATATCACAAGTTCATATACCAAAAATATAATTAAATTCGCCTGTATTTATTATTCTCTTAAAAGTAATGCGTTTATTAGTTTTTGTTTTCCTCCAAATTACACAGTGGCCTAGAAAGCAGAAACGAGCATCCATGGCAGGCCCAAACAGCTATAGGTCTTAGGCTATTTTTTAGTATTCTTCAACAACGACCTCAATAAAAGCTGCTCCAACTGCTACGGAGCTGTGTCTGGTTAATATGAAAGTGAGAAAGAGCTAACAGATTTTAAAAAGTCCGCATAATAACAAACCCTGTACTTGAAGCTCCACCATTATCAAATCTCTTCCTTAACTAATTTTCCCTTTTGACCATTTTTCGCTTTTATTGTTCGTATTCTATACATCTCCATTAATTTCCCACCAAATCCTCTCTCTCTTCCTCTCAAAGCTTACAAAAGAAAGAGTAAAAAATAATTAATTAAAAAAGAAAAAGAAAGAGTCAGCAAATTAATGATTCTCACGTCCCACGAACAAAAATCCATTTCTTGAATCCAACTCTATCTTTTCAATTCTTTATTTCTCTCTCAAAGCTTCTTTCAACAACAGCAACAGCAAAAGCAACAGCAAATCTCTTTTTTCTCTTTTTCTTGTTTTCTTGACCCATTCAAGAAAAATAACAATTTTTTTTTTTTGTTTATTGTCTTTGTTTTTTATAATATTTCAAGAAACGCCCTTTTCATTGCCAGCCATGACTGAGGTGCTCCATTCTCCTTCCCATTTCCCTTCATCGCCAAGCACTAGTCTTGCTTCTAATTCATCTTCTTGTGCACTCAATCCTTCTTCTTCTTCCTTATCTTGCGTACCCACAAGGCAAATATCTTCGATACAAGGTAATGGTGGTGGTTGTGGCCGTGGCCAGGAGGCGGAGGAGGGTTCTTCGTTGACTGTGTGTGACCAAGATGAGGACTTTGTGAAAGAAAGTGCGAAGAAACATACAGAACAGCTTTCTTTGTTGGCTTTGGTTGTGACTATATTTAGGAAATCTTTGGTGGCTTGTAAAAGTGACAGAAGGGAGCTTTGTGCTATGGAGATCGGTTGGCCAACCAATGTGCGTCATGTGGCCCATGTCACCTTTGATAGGTTCAATGGGTTTCTTGGCTTGCCTGTGGAGTTCGAGCCGGAAGTTCCCAGGAGGGCCCCCAGTGCTAGGTACATTATGCTACATTGTGTTTTTCTTATTAGTACTCGTTCAAATGTGAATTTGGTGGTTCCTTCAATTATTATTGGATTTTCAATTGGCTTATACAAATGGAATTTTTAGCTTATGCAACTAGATTCTTGGAATTGTGAATTTTCTCTCTTTCCCTTCACTTTCCTAGGTATGCAATGTTGGATTGCCTGTTGTGGTTCTTCCTCTTCTTTGCATGATTCATTTTGATGTCCAGTTTTCAGTACTTGTATAGATGGTGCACATAATTCGTGGATTCATTTTTCTTAGGTTCTATTGGCAAATTATTTGCAATTAATTGTTGGTTCCATGCAATTTTCCCCATTTTGTGGTGTTAATGTTCTTATGAAGCTCTAGTTTAGGGGAAAAATATTTTAGGGTAAATATTTGCAACTGATACATGGGAAGGTTAAGGATCTTTAGGTGCTATTATCTCATCTTAGATGCTCGTTTGTCATTTATTATAGTGAAGCTAAACACATATCAGAATTGAATACCGACCAATATTTGGAGGACACTAGAACCCTTTGCTGGGAGTCGAGAAGATTTGAAAGATATTGGTGTTTCTTATAAATGTTTGTTGATGTTATTTCTCTGGTTTCTCTGTTCTTTCCAATTTGAGAAGATGTCATAGATCTTAAAAAAAACAACCACACAGTTTGCTTATAATGTTACAGATGGCAACGGTAAGTGGTCATAATATTTAACCATTTCATTAGCCACATTCTAAACCACCAAGCCTCCCACCCCACTATCGCCCCAAACTGGGCAATGTTGTCCCCAGTTAGCGTATTGCCATCTATTACTGTAACAAAATGAGAAGCAAGTATGTCAATTTGTTGAAGTTCTTGTTGCAAATCCAGTAATCCAGGTGTTTTTATTCTATTTTTTCACCTTTAAAATTTTTGTGGGGCCTTCCTTTTTTGTTTTGTTGATGAATCATAATCTTTGGATTGTAGTGTATTGCTGTCTCAGTAGATTTGTGAACTTGAATTTGACTGTCTTTAATCCTCTATTTTCCAATTTAATTAGATATTTGAACTTGAACCTTACTGTGTTTAATCCTCTACTTTTTCAATTTAATTATGCATATTGATCCTTAAGAATGGCTTTAAGAACCATTTCATAAATGCAAAAAAACTTAATTCTTAGAGCTGTGAGTTTTAGTGTGGTTGAGGAGTAAGTGACCTTTATAGATTGTCAAAAGACTTGCTGAGGTGCAATTTCTGACATCATATACGTTATTATTTAAATGGTTGTCATTGCGGGAATGCATGTTGTTGGGTTTAAGCCTCTTGACTGCTTTAAAACACAGGTATATATACTTATTGGATTTGTCCATTGCTTAATTCTTTTAGGATCTTCAACAAATGTTACATGTTTTCGGTTGTGTGGAGACATGTCATCTGCCAAGATAAAAGCATCTAGAAATTCTAGGTCTCGTTAATCCAATGTAGAAAAGTAATAGTAACAATAGTATGGCATTGTTGAATGAATAATTGATTTCATATTTTTCTTGGTTCCACTATAGTCAAAACTTGTGATCGTTTCTATTTAAAATGAACGTTCAACAATATAGGGGTGAAACAATTTATGAGGAAAAAAACCTTGTAAGAAAGTTCATGGGTGTGTTTGATGCAGTCTGTAATGGGTTTTAGAACCTGTTCTACACATATTGTTTTGAAATTGAGACTTGGGTGTTTGATGAGATTGTGGAAGTGGTTTCTGTGTTTTAATGTCAATGACTCAGTGATTCATAGTCCATTAGATGAACAGATGCCATTCCAACTCCAATGGACACACAATTTTAACAAAATTTGATTTCATTCAAACACAACTGAATTTTATATACTATTGGATAGACGCATCTCAAAGACAAAATGATACAGCAATATTGATAAACCACAAAACCACCAGATTATAGAATTTCATGTGTAAAATTTATGTTTCTGAACCTTCAATTTGAATTTCTTTAATATGCCAAGAATCAGTCTTCTTTGGAACTTGGAAGATATTTGTTTGACTTACCCTCACTTTCTTTCTTTATTTTTTTTTCCATTTTACAAAATATTGATTTCTTTTTAATATTTAACCCATTGAACTCCATCACAAATGAGAATATGGGATCCTTTGTAAGACCACAAATGCTACAACTAGGCATCATCTGATAATAGTTTGGTTAAGTTGCAAGTTGCAAGAAATACCCCTGGCACTTGCAATTGCAAATTTCTTCTTACAAAATATAAGTTGCCTAATATAAACCCTATGAAAAATCCAAGTATTGGTACTTATTTGTTTCTGTTTATGGCATCTTAAATTGTAACAACCATAACTCTTTCACAATTACTCAACTGTTCAAGTATTTTCCCTCATTCCACTTAACAGAAACCTTCTCGTTATGTAGCGCAACTGTCTTCGGAGTTTCAACAGAATCCATGCAGTTGTCATACGACTCTAGAGGGAATAGTGTACCAACAATACTGTTGCTAATGCAAAGACACTTATATGCACAGGGAGGCTTGCAGGTACACCATCATCCTGTTATTTTCTCCATTAGCATCTAGAGGTTTGCACCAAAGAATACGTAATTGTGAAAAAGAGAAGAAAAAACTTTTAAAAGTTGTTTATGATTCATGAGCATTCACTTGTTTAATTTATAGTTAGATGAATTAGAGTTTATATTGGTTCGGTTGGTCATAATTAAATGGTTATTTACTGCATTTAGGCTGAAGGAATTTTCAGAATTAATGCTGAAAATAGTCAGGAGGAATATGTGAGGGATCAGTTGAATAGAGGAGTGGTACCAGAGGGCATTGACGTACACTGTTTGGCAGGACTTATCAAGGTATAGCAACAAATTTAATACAAGCTCATTACCCTATTAAATGCATTCTACTTCAGAATTTTGATAAATTTAGCAAGACAGTATAGTTAAGGATTCATCCAACATGAGTTGAAATGACTGCAGATGGCTTTTTTCCTATTTTTCTAGTTTTTAATAGGTTTGATATGTGTTAGTAGCAATCAAAATTATGTCAAGCCAAGGAATAAAAGATATTATCCAAATGGTTAATAAATCAGGGGAGTTGTTCTTTTTGGTCTTGGGGGAGTGCTGATTACTGGAAGAAATTCTGCCATATTGATCACCCCTTAAAAGCAACTGCCAGTCCTCACCACTATCCTTAGCGGCAAAGCCTACCACTGTCCTTTTTCCGAATTGATGCTATGGCACCAGTACCATGTATTAATGGCATTGCCATATACTGACTGCATGGATGATACTTAAAAGTCTCAAACAGAATGTTTATTTAGTTTGTATTTAAGGGACCGTAAGCAGCTCTGAATTTTTGGCCTGTTCTTACTTTTGCACATTTGGACTTCCAGTTTTACTTCCTGAATAAATGGAAATATTACTCTTCTATGCTTTGATGTTATGGGTAATGTTGTTTGTTATGAAATTGAATCAAACCGTTATCTTGAATAAAACAATTGCAGATAAATCCCAAAATTTCTATTTTGATAGTATTTTTTTTTTTCTTTTCAAATTCAAAATTTCTATTTTGGTAGTTTTTTTTTTTTTTTCTTTTCAAATTAAATTTTATCTTACGCATCCTGATGTTATATAATCACGTTTGCATACAGTGGCTGCTTCTTTTAACACAATTTTTACATAGCTTTGCAACTACTTCATTTATTGACCTGGAGTATGATTTTTCTGTAGGCTTGGTTTAGAGAGCTGCCAACTGGGGTTCTGGATCCTTTATCACCTGAGCAAGTAATGCAATGCCAAACAGAAGATGATTGTGCCGAGCTTGCAAGGCATCTACCTCCTACTGAAGCTGCTCTTCTGGATTGGGCCATCAACTTGATGGTTGATGTTGTCCAGCAAGAACATGTAAACAAGATGAATGCACGTAACATAGCCATGGTTTTTGCACCCAACATGACTCAGGTTAGTCTCCATGTTACTTAAGATTCCACAGACATGGCATACCCTCCAGTAATAGAATCTAGACCTTCCTAAGCTGTAATAATTTCTTCTAGTTATGTAGTATATGTTTTATAGACGTTTTGTTTGCATTCAAATGTGTCCACCCCATCCTTTTTCTTAAGATCATGGCTTATGTATGCTTTTGGACTCTGCTAAAATGCCATATAAAATCAGAAGAAACTATATGGATCTACCAAGAATATACTGGGAAATATATGTTAGTCTCTGTCAAAACTAAGCCACTAAAAATTTTTAATGGTTATGGAAGTTATGGATCTGGGTAGTTGTTGGTATGCTGATGTAAAAAGTCTTGATCTCATTGCAGATGGCAGATCCTTTGACTGCACTAATGTATGCGGTTCAAGTGATGAACTTTCTTAAGACACTGATCTTAAGGACTCTGCGAGTGAGGGAAGATTCCTTGGGGGAGCTAACTCCTGCTTCACATTTTGAGCCGTTTGATGAGAACGGTCATGAGAGTCCTTCACAATCCTGTGCTGAAGCTACTAAAGAAAATGAAAAGACAGAGCAAACCTTCATTGCTCAAGAACCTGCTGTTGAAAGTTCCTCCAACTCTAGTCAAAAAAATGTTATAAATGGAGGAGACTGCAACTCTACAATCTCTGCTGAGAAGTCAATGGCCAAATACAAGGCTACTGTTCAGGCTGATAAATTTATGGAAGAAACTGATGCTGGTGGTCAAGCAAGTCCTGGGAAAAGCATGGTTGGTCAATCAAGTAATTCAAATGACCGAAAGAGTCCTGGTAAGATAAATAGGAAGAAATCTGGTCTTCGTGTAATATCGCCTGTTGAAAAGACTCGGGGACTTAGCAACTTGAGCCGTATAGATTCAAGGGCAGAACTTATTGAAGCTTGGCGATGAAGGACATGTTGGACACCAGTGGTTCTATGAAAAACTGTCTGAATTTGGAAGTTGATGTTTGTGAATTATTAATGTATGTTGTCCTCTGTTTTGTTGGCTGGTTTCTAATTTCCTTGATGATTCCATAGTTTGAAACTGACCTCTCACTAGAGTGTTACAGCTGCTTTTTTTAACGTTCTTCAAAAAATGTAATTTCATATTTTTTTTCTAACCCATCAACACATATTAGTTCATTTATAATTCATTTGTAGCTTTAGCATTATATATATTATGGAACGAAAGGAAAATATAAAATATAACAAAAATAAATAGGAAAGAAAGTTGAGAGGGAGAACTGAGAGAGTTTCCTTTATTACATCTTAACAAAATTCTTCTATTTTCCTTTTTTTAGGAATTTTTTATATTTTATTTATTTTTTTACAATTTGATTGGATGTTAGAACATATTTTCAAAGTTTTAAGATAATTATATTTAGATAATTACAACTTTAAAATCTTTTTAATTCTTTGTTATTATCTACACATTTGTTTTATCTCTTTAAAACTCGCAATGGCTGTCTCCGTCTCTCTTACTCTCCATTACTCTCTAATGGAAAAAGCTCAAAAGTTTATATCTTTATTTATATGCATTAGAGAACATTTTCATGTATAAGCATTTGCACGTATCATTGCTTCAACAATGTACTTTTGTATTCATTTATTTTTATTTATTCTTTGATTTCTTCTGTGTCTCACTGGGGGAGTTACTTATCAAAATTGAGTTAAAGTTTCAATTTTAGTTTAGTTGTATTTAGTGCAGATAAATTTTAACTTTTTAACCATATGGTTTTAATCATTTTACTTGATTTATTTAATTAAATAGTTTAACACAAATTAATGTTTAAATAAGAGAACTAATTTTTAATTAAATTAGCTAAATGTTAAAAGTTGTTCTTGAAAATCCTATAATTTATAGAGTTATAAATTAATAAAAAATAATGAAAATCCTATAATTTAGAGTTATAAATTAATGAAAAATAATGACTAGAATTTGATAAGTTCAAGAAGGAGCTGGTCTTTTTATACAGAGAAAGTCAAAATTTCTCTAGAAGTAAGGAGGTGGTCTTTTTATAGATTTTTTCCTAATTCACCTTTGAAAAGACAATTAAATGGTTCATAAATTTCAAAAAAAAAAAAAAAAACGATTGATGAAAGAGAACGATGACGTTACTTAAATGAAAGTTTTATTTGCTTAGATTTTCTCCCAACAAAACAAAAACGTAGACTCAAATATTCAATATATTCACTGATTTTTAATATGTTGCACACGTTTTAATATATGTGCAACTGTCAAGTAAATAGTCCATATTTTTCATAAGTTTGGACTAACTAGTTTCATGTTATTTGCAATACTTTAAGTTGTCAAAAGTAAAAGTTGTTCACGAGAACCAAATTGATAAGTGTACACAGCCATAAGTAAATAATAAATGAGAGCACAGAAATTTTGGATTTAAGCACTATCATTTTGGAGAAAAATTTCCTTTCATTCTTGATATTAGAGTTGTGCGTAAAATCTCACTGTACGTAAACACTTTAATTATTAACAGCAATAACAAAAATTGTTATATATAATTCGGACTACTATTGCAACTCCAAAAATTTAATCTATGTGCATAAATTGAAGTTTCCATTTCTTAATGGCACGTTCAATCAGTTTTGGAACATTAATTGCGCAACTACTGGTAATGTCTGGCACTTTCTTAAAATTCTCTCAAAATCAATATTAAACTAATCAAACGGAATGTTATATAACCTTTTACTTTTCGCTAGTTCCCAAAGTATATTTGTTTAAGCAATTTTTCTTTATATAAATAAAACACAATCTAGAAAATTTTCTTTTATAAATAAACGTGAGGCAGTATTAACTTTGTACTCTATATACAACAAAAAATTTTAAATACCAACATATTAAGTTTCTAAATTTATTTAATACTAATTCACAAATTTTTTTTTTTACTTCCCATTAATTGTTAAGCCTCTATCCTTTTACAATGATCCACAGTAAACTTTTTTGCAATTCTAAATTTATATCGCTCGTCCTTCACGAGGGCAAAGGGTACTGAGTCACGAAGAAGTTTGCAATGCGGAGGATGTTAAAAACCTAAATTAAAAGCAAATACAATCTTGAAAAGAATTAATTAGGTAAGAAAAGTTATTCATTTAGGAGTATGTCAAAAAAAAAAAAAAAAAACGATGGTAAATGATGAAAGAGACGATGAGTTACTTAAATGAAGAGTTTTATTTGCTTAGATTTCTAACAAAACAAAAACGTAGACTCAACTATTCAATATATTCACTGATTTTTAATTTATGTTGCACACGTTTTTAATATATGTGCACTGTCAAGTAAATATGTCCATATTTTTGCTATAAGTGTGGACTAACTAGTTTATGTATTTGCAATACTTTAAGTTGTCAAAAGGTAAAGTTGTTCACGAGAACCAAATTATAAGTGTACACAGCCATAAGTAAATATAAATGAGCACAGAAATTTTGATTTAAGCACTATCATTTGGAGAAAAATTTCCTTTCATTCTTGATTTATTAGAGTTGTGCGTAAATCTCACTGTACGTAAACATTTAATTATTAAGCAATAACAAAAATTGTATATATAATTCAGACTATGTTTGCAACTCCAAAAATTTAATCTATGTGTATAAATTGAAGTTCTCATTTTCTTAATGCACGGTTCAATCAGTTTTGGAACATTAATTGCGCAACTACTGTAATGTCTGTCACTTTCTTAAAATTCTCTCAAAATCAATATTTAAACTAAAATCAAACGAATGTTATATTAGACTTTTTACTTTGACGCTAGTCCCAAAGTTACTATTTTAAGCAATTTTCTTTATATAAATAAAACACAATCTAAGAAAATTTTCTTTTATAAATAAACGGAGGGAGTATCTAACTTTGTGACTCTATATACAACAAAAAATTTTAAATACCAACATAATTAAGTTCTAAATTTATTTTAATACTAATTCACAAATTTTTTTTTTTACTTCCATAAGTTGTTAAGGCCTCTATCCGTTTTAATGATCCACAGTAAATCTGATTAATTATCGCTCGTCTTCAGAGGCAAAGGGACTGGTCAGAAGAAGTTTGCAATGCGGAGGATGTTAAAAACTAAATAAAAAGCAAATACAAACTTGAAAGAATTAATTAGGATAAGAAAGTTATTCATTAGGAGTATTGACGAAAAAAACATTATATTAACAAAAAAAATAGAACAAGAAGAGAAAACTACACATCTTAATCTATATTAATAATATTCAATATAATAATTTTTACTTTTAAAATCTAATCATATTAATTATAAAGCATTAAATTAAAATTTTTAAAAATTAATTTTTTTCTCTATATTTCGATTGAACACTTAAAATATTTTTAAAGTTTAAAAATTAATATTTATTTACTAATTAATATGCAAAAAACAAGTAAAGGATTTTTGAACTATTCAAAGTAAAGAAAGATTCAGTAATATAGTATTTATGCGGTTAATAAAAGTGCCTATATATTTTATGTTTAATTTTACTTTATATTGATTCTTAACAATTCATAATCTTTAAAAAGAAAATGAAATTACTTCCAAATCAAAATACATGTAAAATAATTTATTAATATAATTATAACAATTTGGATTTATTTATTTTTCTAAAATGATAAATCAAAAAATTTTCAAAATATAATATAATTCAAATATTAAGAAGCACGGATATACTACTAGTTTATAGATAAAGAAAAAAAATAGTAACAATCACTATGAAAAATTCGCTTAAATCATTTGATGTTATTATGTACTTTTTGAAAATTTATAAAGTGTGGGGTTTAGGTGTTCACTCACAGCATTATTGAATTTCAGGAGCATTAAACATGTGGACCGCTAAATGGACATCCACACATAATTATTTAATAATAATTTTCTTAGATATCTAGTTTTTAAAAAGTGTCGGTTAAAGCTTTATTAAGAAAAAATCATGTGAAATAAAAATTTAAGTAAAAGAAAATTGACTATATTATTCCTTTCTAAAATATTCACAAATATTCAATAAAATGTTATCTCATTAAAAATATTTATTAGGAAAATTTAGTAGAAACCTTGGCCAAAGGAAAAAGAACATAACCTACCTTTTATATATATATTTTAACTTCTTTCTAGTTCTATTTCTGTTTCCTTTTCATTCTTTTGTTTTTTTTTTTTATTTGTTATTGATAGCTATGGAAAATACGTCAACAATCTAAATATTATAATTTGGATTATCAAAAGTTGTGTAAATGGTCATTTAACCTTTTCCTAGAGGAGGGCTTCCCTTTATATACACGATATAAGAATAGTGGGCAAGAGATATCTGGCGATATCTCCTAATATCACACCCCTATCTTCTTTATGTTATCCTTTTCTAAGTTCTTGCTAGATATGATGTCTATTAGAGATGTCCCCCTAGAAGGTATAATGACATTTATGTCAAGATCATTACCTCCAAGGTATCTTCTCGGGTTCTCAAGTAGTTTTTCTTGTGGGCCAAGATGCTCGGGGTTCATACTAAGATGTTTGGGAGGACTCGGGTACTGCGCTTGGATCTAAAAGTATATTTATTCTATTCCACTGGTCTCGACCCATGGACCTAGGGTCTATTAATAGCTAATCGGTTAAAAAGCGAGGCACGATATAATTGGCGCTTTGATGGCAGTTACCTATTTTTTAAATTTTGAAAAGAGACTTTCCAATTACTACGACGTTTTAGTTTTCAGTGATGATTCATATGGTTTTGGAGGCTATATAAGGGCATCCTCTGCTTTTTCAAGGGATTTTCTTGGTTATTTCCTAACTTATTTCAACTTCCTCTTCTGCAGTTGCTTCTTCGTGTCATTCAGGTATTATTCATTCTTCAATCACAGCTAAATTGTTACCTCATATTGTTTGCATTTTTCAAATATGAGCTCCAGTCATCAGTCCAAAGGCAAGGCCCCAGCAGAGTCCTCTGGCCATAAGGATGAACAACTTAAACTTCGAAGTAGACCATCTCATTTTAGGAGCGATAGACTCTGATTCAGACTTTGAGTATGAGGTCAATTTAATCAAGAGGAGGCTGCATGGGATTTTTCCTTCTGCTAGAGGCATGGGCTCGCCTTCTGTTAACCAATCTCGCACTGCTTCTCCGATACCCATGTTGCGAGATGAGACTACTCC